GTAAATGTGTTATATTCGCTCAGTTCAGTTGAGTGGAACCAGCTGACATAATTTTTAAATTAAATCTGCTACATTTGTTTTTTKAGTGAATGTTTTAACACGTCTTCTTATAAACACTGAAAAGTATTATGTGTACTAAATGTGAAATAAATAATACAGAATACTATTAAAATAAAAGTACAAKAGTTTTACTCACWCAGTTGTGGTGAGTRGCTGCTATCTTGAATTCTGAACTCTCCCACTTTCCAATATGGAATTCTCACTTGAGGGACATTCTAGTTTGAATTTATGAYTTATAACTGGGAAATTCCSACTTCCCAGTACAAYTGGTCCACAGCAAAAGTAGCCARCGAAAATGCAGAGAAATGAAAATTTTACACAGCAGATTTTGCTGGCTGCCAGCTACTTTTAAACTTTGTGCACCTCCAACTAGTGGAGGATGCTGTCATTTTGCAGGTAAAATAATCAACATGCATTATGGGAGATGTAGTTTATTATCAATGAAGAAGCATATTTTAAGACATTAAAACATCTTTGAAGCTATTGCTTCATATATGGCTGTGGGTTTTCCATAGGATACATGTGCTTTAGAAGATCTTAGTTTTGAGTCTTAGATGTGCTGTAAGTATTAATTCTTGCTTTTCTTGATGAAATAAATGTTTACAATTTTCATTTTTACACCAAGTTCAGTTCATTTTTTTGCCTCTGAACTCAAGCATTTTTAATGTTAAAAGAACATTATGTATTGTTTGGGAGCTTTTTAAAATAAGCATAAAAATCTTAATGCTGTGTATTTTGAGTCTTATTCCTGTTTCCCTTGCAGGGCKTGGGCAGTTGGCTCCCTGACTCTCCTCTTCCTGTTAAGCGTTACCTGGTCCTCAGGCCTGATGTTCCTGTCTGGTCCATCTCTCCTCCTGGCTTACCTTTTCTCCTCCCTCAACACAGCTCAGGCCCTCCTCATCACTATACTGCACTGCACACTCRCCAGAAAGGTCAGTTTTAGAGTTCRCAAGTGATTCTATGGTMAGTATGTTCAATCCTTAACCTGTGTRCTCACGATTGAATGTTGTGCCAAGGGTCAGAAGGAAGGCAGTCGATGCCTGCGTCTCTCTCAGTGCTGCGCAACATCCTCATCCAGCTCACCAGACTCGGTGAAAGGGGCCGCCCTTCGCACCAACAGCCGCTACACCAGCAGCCAGAGTCGCAGAGCCACGGCTAACAGACAGGTGTGCAGCAGCTCACTTCAGCTGTGTGTGTGTGTGTGAGCAGGTTGTTAACACATCTTTTGTATTTCTGTTACAGAGTCGAATCAGAAGGATGTGGAACGACACCGTCCGCAGACAGACTGAGTCTTCTTTCATTGCTGCGGACGTTACGAACACTCCTACTCTCAACCGAGGTGACGTTTGCGTGTTTGATCAYGCGTTTCAGTCTGCTGGGTCAACACAATGTGAGATTTATTCTCTTCCTCTTTCTCCCATCAGCTGCTTTGGGGAATCATTTCCTCACAAACCAAATGTTGCAGACTCACACTGGAGCTTCTCCTTATGACACGATACTGGCGCAGGGATACAACCAACCTTTCACCTCCACAGGTACATCCACATTACATTTAACCCTATTCCTATTAATCTGCATCATTGTTAACTGTCTTTTTATTTAAGTGTATTTTATAAAAACATGTTTATGTTTATTATCAAATGTCTACAC